CAGCAAAACATTTTCAACAGACTAAAGATTTGACAATGCCGAAATTTTTCACTCGAAATTCGACAGGATCGAAACTTTTTTACTCAAAGTTTGACACTGTCAAAACACGCTGCCGAAAACTATTTCTATCGAACTACGAAATACCCTCAGTTTATTACCGGAGTGAAAAGATCAATCAAGTGTTGCATGGCAAACACTATCCCGAACAGATCTTTCGTGAAATGTTAAAGTGGCGCAATGTCGAAACATGCGCAACTTTTTTCAATAAAAAATGAAAAAACCTGTCCATTACTTGGCGCCCCATGATTTCATTTTTATAACTTATGCAGTTATGATAAATACCTGAGACATGACTGCACAAGTTCTATAGATTGTGCAAAAGATCTGAAAAAATCATCGTCTGAAGAAGGGGGAGGGCAGGTGCTACTTGTCAGGCAGCTTTCAACCACAACAAAGCTATAAATACTATTGAAAGTACTATTTTCTGAAACTACGCAGTCGATACTACATAAATCCATCAGAAGTGGAAAATCAAAAAAATTGTCAAAAACCGCCTTCCGAAGGAAGCAAGAGACAACAACCTTAAGAATACCTACAAAAAATAGAAGTTCTCACTCAGCATCAATGTGGACCATTCCAGCCCATTTCGACCCGTTCTAGCATTCCAAAAATGTTTTTTCCCCCTTAAGTGCACTCCTCTTTGCTCTAGGTAAAATGGTATTTTTCAATGATATGCCCGTAGTTTTGCGTTTTGCGTCATTGCCTCTCATTACATGTAATAGTGACGACGCACACATTACACTACAGAACATCCCCAGTAGTCGTACAGATCTACCTCGTAGAAAAGGAAAAAAAGTGCCTTGTCACCGTTACGACTCGAACTAAAACATATTAATATGTGTAACAAAAAGCTTGTATGTATACTTGTATGAAATTGACTAGGGATATACATGCCTACAAATACTTACAAAAACATCTTACTGGTTGGTGCTGCTGGTGACATCGGTAAATGCATTCTCTCAACTCTCCTTCCTGATCTTACTTTCAACGTGACCATTCTTTCGCGTGCTGATTCAAATACAATATTTCCATCCAATGTTAATGTGATCAAAGTCGATTATTCAGATAAAGGTGCATTGACTAATGCTCTTGTTGGTCAACATGTGGTCATTTCGACTGTTGGTGGTGAAGGCCTGTTCAATGATTTTGGTACAACTTTAGTTGAAGCTGCAATCGATGCAGGTGTCAAATGGTTTATTCCATCTGAATTTGGTGCAGATTATGATGATCCTATTTGTACAACTGTTCCACCTTTAGCCATCAAACTAGGTGTCGCAAAGCTGCTCAGAGAGAATCAATCTCGCATCAGTCATACCTTCATTACGACCGGTATGTTTCTTGATTGGGGTTCCGATAATGGATTTCTCGGTTTCGATATTCCCAGCCGTACGGTTACGCTCTATGATGAAGGGAAAGCACGTACATCGGGCACAATTCTTCCAAATATTGCCAAAGCTGTTGTCGCCGCTATTCATCATCCAGAAGTATCCTTAAACAAGCGAATCTACATAGCAGACGCAACATTTACACAACAAGAAGTTTTAGCTCTCTTTGAAAAATACACAAATACCAAATGGACAGTGAGACATGTTTCGACGAAGGATAAACAGAAAGAAGGAGCTGAAAAATTTGCAAAAGGGAACGTTGGAGAAGCTCTTCTTGATTATGTAAGGTATTTAGTGTATAGCGGTGTAAAAGTCAATATGCTCGAAGGCAGAACAAGCAACAAAGACTTAGGAATACTAACGATATCGTTAGATCAAATTGTTAAAGAAGCAGTACAACGAACAAACCCTACTCAACAATAAAATTTTTTTTCTTCTATTCGAAAAATCGTTGTGATTATTGTATATTCATTATTTAATTCAAAAATAAAAAAAATCATTGAAAAATAAGTTGTTTGATATGACGATACTTCATGTAGTCTAATTGAAATAGCAATCCAATTGATAGTGATCATCTTGGTGGATGGCCTATTCCACAAACGATATGTCCTACAACCATATAGAATATTGTTTAGCTTATAGGTCACAGAAAGTATTCGATGATTCTCTATAAAAATTCACCTTTAATTACATAATACTATCGATGATGTAAATAAATTACAAAATATTCAGAATTTGTATTAAATGCAGATGAAACTGTCCCCACGATATCTATCAGGATTTCTATTTGGAGATTTTTGATTACTTTATATCTATTGGGGTCTACTGGGATCTTTTATATCTATGTCTTTCCCTAGCAGTCTCATCTTATTGATGGACACTGCACGTGTGTCTTTCGTGACACCTTCATCTAGATGGTGGTAGACCTTTTCATGTACGTCATTCAGTGGGACTACTAAAATATTTCTATGTACAGCCGAAGTACCTATCGGTATAGAAAAGGTATCCATTTTCAGGATTTGAGACTCAACGACAACAATAGCAATGAAAAATAATAACATCTACAAAATGATATTGCTCGGATTTTTCATTGGAAACTGATTCTAGAAAAGTATTTTTCAAGTTTTTTCATCAAAAACTAGGATTTTGGAAGGCGCCAAAACAACCATCGCTCAAAACCCGAGAAATTCAGTTTATGAACTTATCTACTCTCCTGTATCAGCGACTCTCTACAAAACTGTATCTGTCAAAAAAGCGGTCAAACGTGGTTCTTTTTAAACAATGGTCTAGATCAACAGAACGATGAATTATGAGTTAAGTGAGGCATATATATGAGTACATACGTAACAAACCAAAAGTATTTGTTCAATAATGGTCTCCAATTTTCTTTTGCACAGAAATAGCGCTAAAATAAAATAATTATGAAAATTCGTGTTGTTATCTAAAATATCGTTATAATTCATTGATTAGATACAAATACACTTTATTCGAAGGAGAAACATCGACACGTTCATACACTCTAAAAAAAATGCGACTTCTAGGAAGACACATAGGTCGGATCCCAAAAAGCCGCATTTTAGTGTCTTCTCTGAAGACACATGAT